AGCTAGCACTATAAATCGGCATCAGTCCGGACTAGTACAAGCAGCCACACACACACATACACGTGCATGCACGTCGCTATATAAGTGCAATAATCTTGGACGCGAAGTTAAACCTAATTTCACCTCACCTCTTCCTCCATCTTCCCGAGGCAAGAGTGTTAACTGACTTTAAAAGTCTAGTATCGTAATGCCACCAGTGGCTATTACCAGTTATGCCACTTCTAAGCCTCTCCTACGGACCAATCATATTCCACCTCTCGTATCACCTGCGTTCGCTTCACACAAAAGAGTGGGACCCAGTCAGGGCGATCTGATCGATAATCAAGATCTATATTGTGATAAAACGGGTCTTATATCACGAAATGCATTAAATCACGTGAGTACATTAACTAAAAACATGAAAAGATTTGCAAAATACTGACAACATGTTCCTAGAACATGTAAGCAAAGTGTATGTCAGCTTATATTGGTATGTCACAGCTGGAAACAATATATAATTATATTTCTTTGATGATATGAATATTCTAGATAATAATTGTTCACCATGGAAGTTAAATGTTAACCTGTCGAAAAGTGAAATAATTGTTTTTCGTGAAGGTGTAGCTGTTAAACAATGTGAGAAATGGTATAATCGGAATGAACTTGTAGAAGTTGTAACAGAATATTAGCACATTGGACCAATAAGGACTCTTTAAATTTAACAGGAGCAGTGTCATAATTGGCGTTAAATGGGAAACTTTCACAAATAAATGTTTTAGAATTGGTTTGGACTTATGGAAAAATACCACATTTTAAAAAAACATCTATTTAAAAATGAAACCCATTCTTCTTTATGGATGAGAAACTTAGGGCCATCAAAGATTGGAGGTAGTACAAAAAAGTCCAATATCTAGCATGTAAATATAATCTTGGTACAGGAATTAACTAACCCTGCCAATGTAATGGCTTGAGAGGAACGTGGACGGTACCCATTGTTTATCAACTGTTCGGGGAAATGCATTATATAATTATAATATACTAGCTAAAACTACTCTACATGCCATCTGAAAGACTTTCACGTAGGGCATACGAAATGGTATTTAATCTTGACTCAGGAAGTAGAAAGAACTGGGTGGGTAATGTTAGACATGTTCTGTTTCATTGAGGTTTTGGCTATGGTTTGGTCTACTAAGATGTTGGATGTAGAGTTACTTTTCTGAAACGTCTTCCAACCAGATTGAAAGATATGTACAGCCAATGTACCAGATATTAATATCATACACTTTTTTAAAATACCGTATTCGACGTAATATGCGCCCCGCTCTAATAAGCGCCCACGGCGATATTTGCTAATATATTGGCAAGTGTACAATCTCAATTAGCACCCCTTCCGAATGATTAATGTACACAAGACTTATTTATTCGTGTTTCATACGCACTCGCGTGTTATATGCACCCTTAATTATCGTCAATTAAATTCTGGAATAATATATCTGTCGTGTATAATACGCACAGACTTTTCTTTTGTATCATTTCAGACTGTAAGCATACACCACGAAGTTTACGATCTTCAACTGTTTTTTTTTCACCAAACTTTTATTCTAACAAGAGGCCCCTATTTCTAATTTTGAGAGCGCCCAAGGCGCTTATTACGTCGAATACGGTATGTCTAGAAGCAGTAAATATTTAACAGATTCGACTTTGCTACCGATTTTGCTCGTGCTGGAGTTGGATGAACAAAAGGTTAATAATGATACAGGGAGACACCACAATCTTCCAAAATTTGAAGGATTATGTACATAATGTAATCTGAACAATGTCGTCCTATGTCCTTAAAATATGTATTCGAAAACATTACATACCAAATAGATATGTAATTCGACAGTCAGTCCAACAGGTTATTCGCCTTTTGACAACCTCAAGTTATCAAGATTTAAAATTTGTTTAAATTTGAAATTACACTGTGCTGTATTGTATTCGCTTTGTCTGGCCTTTCATACAATCTACATTTGAACGATAAACCATCGATTTTTAAATGTCATGAGAACAGGTCGCAATGACCACCTCGTTTCACGATATATTCTGTCACCATCTGTTGCTAACGATATATATGCTACTCAAAGGCAGGTCTCCCTTTTCTTTGAGTGAGTGAGTTGGGTTTAACGCCGCTTTTAACAGTATTCCACTTATATCACGGCGTGTCTGCTTAATGTGGGAGGAAAGCCCGAAGTGATGCAGGTCTAAGACGTTTACCACTTCGGTGAAACCCACGAGCACGGGTATGGTGCTGACAAACCTAGAAACATAATCGGGGTGAACCGGGATTCGAACCCACAATCATAGGTTTCTGGCGTGTCCAGGGGACGCAACTCTGCACAGCGAATCGCGGCGCCTTAGACGACTGGGCCACCCGTGCCCCCTCTAACGATATGAAAAAAGTTCATGTGTATATAATTAAATGTTTGTTATGTTCATTGAAATTTCTGCGTTCTGATTAGCTGAATTGGTCACGTGTTATTGCACTCATTTCCCAATGAACGTTAAAAGCCATGCCCACCGAGGGGGACTACTTTTATTACTACGTCATGTCGGGGAATCCCATTATTTACAGTTGAGGGAATTCCCTTTCTGCGCACGTGTATCGTCATGCACAGGACATTTAGCGAAAGTCATGCATATTCAGTGTCCAAACTACCCTTTGAGACCGAAGGCCGAGAAGGAATGAAACAGCAAACGTGCAGGTTCGCTCGCCTGTTCCTTTCCCGCTCGCCTTGGTTCAACAACATTTTATGTCTTCGGGTTTCAGTTCTAACTAGCATTTTTCCAACTGTGTCTTCCCGTTCTCAGGGGACTAGTGGTTGAATCTGGCGGTAACTGATCATGTTATTTGAAACAGCCGCCTTCTCCCGGACATATTTGTTCCGGTTCGTTACAGTCTGACATTTCGCCTTTTCCCTTGATCGACAGGTCCTATTAATATTGTTTTGTCCTTATTCTCCGTTGATTGGCTACTGACTTTGTAGGCGTGTCCAATTATGTGCATAAATTAAACAATCACCAGATCAATGTCACGCAACAGTATGTATTCCTACACCTGGAATGTTTATCAATCTCGTCTTGTTTGTCTGCTTTGGTATATACAACTGTTTTTAGTTAAACTATTGTAGATACAACATGTTTTCGTTGTCGAATTCAATCATAAGCATCGACTGTATTGAGGTATGAATCGAGAAACCGATGTGCAAACTTTTGTAAGAATCAGCTACGCGGATTCATACAGTTTGCACCCGATCAATTTGGTCGCCTCTTACGTCCAGCATCTAACCCGGAATCTCCACAGTATCACCTCTTACAACCAGCATCAGTTGCTGGGGACATGTTCTAACCCGGAATCTCCACAGTGTCTCCTCTTACAACCAGCATCGGTTGCTGGGGAAATGTTCTAACCCGGAATCTCCACAGTGTCACCTCTTACAACCAGCATCAGTTGCTGGGGACATGTTCTAACCCGGAATCTCCACAGTGTCTCCTCTTACAACCAGCATCGGTTGCTGGGGACATGTTCTAACCCGGAATCTCCACAGTGTCACCTCTTACAACCAGCATCAGTTGCTGGGGACATGTTCTAACCCGGAATCTCCACAGTGTCTCCTCTTACAACCAGCATCGGTTGCTGGGGACATGTTCTAACCCGGAATCTCCACAGTATCACCTCTTACGACCTGCATCGGTTGCTGGGGACATGTTCTAACCCGGAATCTCCACAGTATCACCTCTTACAACCAGCATCGGTTGCTGGGGACATGTTCTAACCCGGAATCTCCACAGTGTCTCCTCTTACAACCAGCATCAGTTGCTGGGGACATGTTCTAACCCGGAATCTCCACAGTGTCTCCTCTTACGACTAGCATCGGTTGCTGGGGACATGTTCTAACCCGGAATCTCCACAGTGTCACCTCTTACAACCAGCATCGGTTGCTGGGGACATGTTCTAACCCGGAATCTCCACAGTGTCACCTCTTACAACCAGCATCAGTTGCTGGGGACATGTTCTAACCCGGAATCTCCACAGTGTCTCCTCTTACGACCAGCATCAGTTGCTGGGGACATGTTCTAACCCGGAATCTCCACAGTATCACCTCTTACAACCAGCATCGGTTGCTGGGGACATGTTCTAACCCGGAATCTCCACAGTGACACCTCTTACAACTAGCATCGGTTGCTGGGGACATGTTCTAACCCGGAATCTCCACAGTGACACCTCTTACGACCAGCATCGGTTGCTGGGGACATGTTCTAACCCGGAATCTCCACAGTGTCACCTCTTACAACCAGCATCAGTTGCTGGGGACATGTTCTAACCCGGAATCTCCACAGTATCACCTCTTACAACCAGCATCGGTTGCTGGGGACATGTTCTAACCCGGAATCTCCACAGTGTCACCTCTTACAACCAGCATCAGTTGCTGGGGACATGTTCTAACCCGGAATCTCCACAGTGTCTCCTCTTACGACCAGCATCAGTTGCTGGGGACATGTTCTAACCCGGAATCTCCACAGTGTCCAAAGAGCTCTTACGAATCCCCAAAGTGTCCCCTTCCTTTGACCAGCATCGGTTGCAGGTGACCTGTTTTAACCCGGAAACCCCACAGTGAGAAGGTGAAGTGAATGTGCTGAGCTTGTTCGTCAAACACAGACTGACCATCTATTCTGTTAGGCTGGCGGGTCGAATGGAACCTGTGGGACGTCTTCGAAGCCACACAATTATCATTGACCTAGCGAGTTGAGTTTAGTGCCGCTTCGAAAAGTATTCCAGTTACATCACAATGTGTCAGCTTGATGTGGGAGAACAGGCCGAAGTGATGCAGGTCTGAGACGTTTACCACGTTTACAGAAATCAACGAAAAAGGGGCATGGTTCTGACAAACCTACAACCAAAGCAACGTGAAAAGATATTCCAATCAACGATCACAGGTTTCTGGCACGTCTAAGGGAAGCAACTCCCCATGAAACAGTAAATATGGTATTTATACTTTTATTTACCACATTTTCATTACAATGAAGACTCTTGCATATAAGGCGACTATATATCAGCAGGCAGAGTTATCTTCACTTTGCACATAAGTTATTCCCCCTTCCTCCTGATCAAGGATACACCGTCGAAAAGAGGCAACACAATCTGGAAAAAACAGGGAATATGTCATGCAGAAGTCTTACACAGGTTGAAAAAGGAATCATGAAATGATATACAACCGCAATCGTATGCAAAAGGCATGCTGTTGGTCATGCAGCGATATACACAGACATAAAAGTATGTGAAAATTCACACACATACACACGCACGCACGCACGCACGCACACACGCACACACGCGCGCGTGTGTGGTTAAAGCGTTCGATCGTCAAGCCGAAGACCCGGTTCGATTCCCGAAATAGGAACAATGTGTGAAGCCCATTTCTGGTTTCCCCCGCCGTGATATTGCTAGAATATTGCTAAAAGCGGCGTAAAACCATACTCACTCACTCACTCACTCACTACTATCATCCGTATCAGCTCGCACACCGACCTACCACTACCCCAACAGCTCGCACACCATCATATAGCTACTCCTACACGCAACAGCTCGCACAACAACCTACTCCTATTCAAAACAGTTCACATAACAACCTATAGCTACTCCTATCCCAAACAGTTCACACAACAACCTACTCCTATCCCAAACAGTTCACATAACAACCTATAGCTACTCCTATCCCAAACAGTTCACATAACAACCTATAGCTACTCCTATCCCAAACAGTTCACATAACAACCTATAGCTACTCCTATCCCAAACAGTTCACACAACAACCTACTCCTATCCCAAACAGTTCACATAACAACCTATAGCTACTCCTATCCCAAACAGTTCACATAACAACCTATAGCTACTCCTATCCCAAACAGTTCACATAACAACCTATAGCTACTCCTATCCCAAACAGTTCACACAACAACCTACTCCTATCCCAAACAGCTCGCACACCAACCTGTAGCTACTCCTACCCCCAAGAGCTCCAAAAACCAACCTACTTCTACCCCAAACGGCTCGCACCAAAACCTTCTCCTACCCCCAACAACTCGCACCCCAACTTCCACTACCCCCAAGAGTCCCCACCACTATATCCAATTACACCAACTTCAACCCCACCAGTTGCCACAACCATCAGAAGCCCCCCGCCATGACCCACCCCCACCCCCTACCCCACCCCACACACGCACGCACGCACACACGCACACCTCCTTCCCACCTGCTCCACCCGGGAGTCTTCCATCACCGCCTTGTTGAACAAATCCACCGTGGAGCCGGGCTGGGTGTACGGGTAGCCATAGTACAAGCTGTTGTCCGCCATCAACGTTCCACCCGCAGCCAGAAGATCAAGGTCCAGCAGCTTCTGCAAGGTGACAAGTGCAAGAGTCCCGTGAGTTCCGGGGCAGGAACGGACTGCAGTACCGAATGAGTGAGTGGGTAAACGCCTTTGTACGCCGCACTTGGCAATATTCCTACATAACTTCATCGGGGATAGCTACACAACAGAGATACAGGTATGGGATCTCACTTCGAAGTACGTTACACACCTAAGATCCAGGTATGAAGATGCTACACGACTGAGATTCAGGGCCCTGTTCCACAAAGCGATCTCACCGCAAAGATGGTCGTTATTGACATACTTTCATAGGCCTACGATAGTTAGTCCGCTGAGATCGCTTTGTGGAACGGGACCAAAGTCCTTCTATTCTTATTAACCTTCTGGCTATTTGTGTACCTCGATATGGAGTTCTTAAAATGGTGGTAACACCTCGTAGGAGGGCTTAAGATCATTGTAAACCCTTGATAGAACAAAAACTACAACAAGAGATTTATTTCACTTCAAAGGAAGTTGAATGTCAGAGGGATTCCAGGTTTTAGGTCTGCTGTGGTGGGTTCACCCAGTCAACACCAGAAGAAACAGTTGTTGATGATGCCTAGGAGGGCGCTGGCTCCGTTTTACTGGCCTTCGACAGAATTTCGGAAACAACCGCTTTCTGATCTTCACTTCCACGCTTGTACACACGTACGGCTTCGCTACAATGCCCAGTTTAGTCACAAATGGTCTGCTCGTCTATGTTAGCTACGGCCTACGGCCCCCTCGGTATGTCACCTCATGTCAGGGTTAACAATCGCTGGTAATCCATCGTAGAATGGTTTCTCCTATACTTCTTTGTTGTTTACCGCCACACTCAGCACTACTCCAGCTAAATGACGGGGCCTGTAAATAATGGAATCCAGACAATCCAGTCATCGATATTTTTAAGCAACGATCCACGCCGTCGGGGTACGATGACATGCATCAACCACGTCACCGAGCCTGACCACCCGATACATTTAGTCGCCTCTTACGAGCAGCACTGCAGTGGACGTAAGTGTGACCAGGAAACCCAGGTACGAGATCCTACCTTGAAGTACGCTGTGTAGTTGGGCTTGTCAGCGTCCAGGTACACGACGTCGAATGTCTGACCCTCCGCGGCCAGCTGGTCCAGGGAGTCTAGCGCTGGACCTACAGAGGATGAGGAGCATAGGTACCAGAGATAGGGACGTGTTTATTATCACTGCTATCGTTAAATGGGGCGGTCGGGTAGCCTAGTGGTTAAAGCGTTCGCTCGTCACGCAAAAGACCCGGGTTCGAATCCCGACATGGGTACAATGTATGAAGCCCATTTCTGGTGTCCCCCGCCGTGATATTGCTGGAATATTGCTAAAAGAGGGGTAAACCAATCTCACTCACTCACTCGTTAAATGGTGAAGGGTTAATTTGTAGTTAACAGCATTTCAGTTCTAAAACAGCGAGTCAGATTAATGTAGGAGTGAGGCAGGTCTTAGATGCTTAACAGCTTGGTGAAACCCACGAGCACGGATATGGTGCTGACAAACATGGACACATAGTTCACAATCATACGTTCCTGACGGGTGGCAACTCTGCACAGCGAACTGCGGTGCCTCAGACGACTGGGGCACCCGTGATCCCTCATAACGTCATCATGATAACGACCCCATGTGAGTCGATCATCAAGATGTTGATGTCTGTCCTGTAGCTGAAGGTGATGCCAGCCCCAGTCATTAAACTACAACCACACAGGCCGTGCTGTCCTACCAAGCCGGTAGAGATGATGAGCATTGCTCCAAACACGATAGATCAGCATGCTTGAGAAGGGGTGAGTCAGTATGGTTTTACGCCGCTTTTAGCAATATTCCAGCAATATCACGGCGGGGGACGCCATCAGCTTCACACATAGTACCTATGTGGGGAATCAAACCCGGATCATCGGCGTGACGAGCGAACGCTTTAACCACGAGGCTACCCCGCCCCCTTGAGAAAGAACCTCGTTTCGTCACTGAATATTATGTGACGCAATAAGACATCTGACACGTTATGATGCACACCCACTCCATTTATAACGTTTGTAATACGAAGGCATCTTGACTTACTAATCCTGCTGGACGGTCGGGAAGCCTAGTGGTTAAAGCGTTCGCTCGTCACGCCGAAGACCCGGGTTCGATTCCCTCCATGGGTACAATGTGTGGAGCCCATTTCTGGTGTCCTCGCCGTGATATTGCTGGAATATTGCTAAAAGCGGCGTAAAACTGTACTCACTTACTCACTACTAATCCTGCACTTTTCATCAAGTTACAGAACGTTCGATCACTTGCTCCCACGTCGGTGATAGCCCTTCACTTAACGTTTATGCACGATGAAGATTGAATCTATCCCATAACGCTAAAAGTATCCATAACTGAGATCTTTTTCACCGATTTGCCTTGGCAGAATCCATAAGCTTGAAAACAACAATTCATTTCTTGAGATCATTAGCAGTCTGACGGAGTGAGTTCCTCGACCTAATCTGGCCTACTGCTATTATTATGTATTGCCTGTCATGAGATTATAAAATTATAATGGTAATATCAAAAAAAGGTTGGGGCACGGGTGGCCTAGTCGTCTAAAGCGCCGCAATTCGCTATGCAGAGTTGCGTCCCTTGGGCACACAAGAAACCTATGATTGTGGCTTCGAATCACGGTTCGCCCCGATTATGTTTCTAGGTTTGTCAGCATCATACCCGTGCTCTTGGGTTTCACCGAAGTGGTAAACATCTACGACCTGCATCACTTCGGGCTTTCCTCCCACATTAAGCTGACACGCCGTGATATAAGTGGAATACTGTTAAAAGCGGCGTTAAACACAGCTTACTCACTCAAAGTCCTGTCTTTGAGTAGCATATATACATGTTGATATGTTTACACTAGGTAGGATCAATGTACAATACAAAGAATAAAGAAGTTGTTATCCAGAAACAAATTCACATCTTCATGGGTTTTTTTCAAATTCCTCCTTCTCACGTTACACTGCAATGCAGGGCTGACACGATCATGACAATGTTTTCTGCGTGCATTTATCATATTGAGTGAGACAATTAAAGTATTCAGTCCTGATGATGCATAGTGCGATATTAAATACAGGACAAATACACCCGGGTGGAAACGACGACCATAAGGACTTCATGCTTACCTTGACGAATGTCTATTCTCTTCCCGGATGGCGTCTCATCGAACCACTTCCTGGCAATCTCAACTAAATATGGTTCGAACTCGCACGTGACAACAGCACCATCTTCCGGAAGTGCCTCCGCCATCGCCATTGCAACATATCCTGTAAACATCCCGATCTCCAGAGCTCTTTTAGCTTTTTGCATTCGGATCAAGAACTGAAGAATCTGACCTTTAAAAGAAACCGATGAGCTGTGAGAGGTGAGTAGAGGTAGCAGTCTCTGTGTGCGTGTGTGCGTGCGTGCGTACGTGCGGGCGTGCGTGCGGGCGTCTTAAAGCTTTTAAGAACGCTTTAACCACAAGGCTACCGCTCTGTCCCCTTAGCTGAATAGCGGCCAACGCCTGATCTAACCTCCCTATCAATTACAGGCCGCCATGATGTACCGGTTGCATTGCTGACTGAAGCTTGAAAGAAAAAAAGAAAACTCTTTGATTGACATTGATATACCTTCTCCGGTGCCGCTCAGCCAAAGGGCACTGAACTCTGCTCCCACCTTGCCCTCTTTGTACAGCTGCTGCCATGGCATGGCGTAGGTCTTCTCGCAGATCATCCGGGCACCTGGCGAATCGGCATACGTCATCTCTCGACTGTATTCTTCACGGGTGTCTATCAGTTCCAGCGCTCTTCCTATCGTTGCCCTCACATCTGGGGGCGTGTCGGGGTTATCTGCCCTGGTATATAGCTGTTCCAGCAACTTACTCGCCGGGTCCAAGGTCCGGACCTTGTTGATGAGTTTCAGAGAGCTTTGTGAGGTCATTATTCAAACCTGCATTAAGAAGTGAAGCTATAGTGTTTAAACGGGAAGAACAGTCGATCCTCGATACAAAGTCAGTTCCCAGTGTAATATACACGAACCGCTCTTAAATTAAACCACGGAGTCTATATCCAGTTTGGTTATATATATCCCAGCTAACACACGACGTTGTCACAACGTTGTGATAAGGTTGTGGACTGGTAACGTTGTGATATTAGTTTCAACAATGCTATTATTACGTTGCTGTGGAACGTTATTTCAAAACGTAATAAAAACGTTGCACGTTTACGTTGAGAAAACGTTGTGCATCTGACATCCCACAACGTTGTAATTACACATAGGAAACAACTTATATCATCTCTGAACTTTAATTTCATGTACATATATGTCTAATAAAGCTGACATGAGTAAGATATACTCCACACCATTTGTTAGTAGCTGTGTACAGAAGGTGTCACACGCAGTTATAGTCAAACATTTGGGCGCGTTGTTTTTTTGCGCGGGCTTGAGAGAAACCGTTGCTGTTCGTAAGGGAGAGTACTCGCGATCCATTCGTCACCACTCGCCCCTTTCCGTAACCTCACGGAATAACACGAGTTGGTCACGAATGCTCGCGATCGACACAGCAGCGATTTTGTGGTGAGTAAAACTACTTTACAATTTCATCATGCCATTTAAACAATATTACCAAGAGGTCTGAGTGAAAGCTGCTGTGCGTCTCTTGATTTTGCTTACTCTATGTAATTGTTTTTTATCGATAAATTGTTATCATTCTCGTGCAATACCTCAGGGTGCATGAAACAAAATGGCGTGTTAAATGGTGAAGTTTTGTTATCAGTAACATAATTATATTATCTGATGATATAACTACAGTTATTAATGAAAAAGGTGTGGTATAAGAATCTGTTTAAATTTATTTAGGTCATACAGTAACTTTTCCCACTTGCATAGAACGGTAATCGCATGTGTAATGTACGAAACAGTCTCATATCAATCGCTCCCGTCTTCCATGTGTGTGAATGCATGGTGTGTACCTTTTCCCCACTGTGCTGTAGACGCTAAAATTCCTATATGGTGCCTACTTTTGTTGACCCTTATTTGTCAGTACATATGCTACCATCTCCCTCCTCCACGGACGGACCCGTGAAGATCCGGGGTAGAATAGGTCTTCAGCAACCCATGCTTGCCTTAAGAGGCGACTATGCTTGTCGTAAGAGGTGACTAACGGGATCGGGTGGTCAGACTCGCTGACTTGGTTGAAGCATGTCATTGTATCCAAAATGCGTGGATCGATTCTCATGATACCAATCACTGGATTGTCTGGTCCAGACTCGATTATCTACAGACCGCCGTCATATAGCTGGAATACTGCTACGTGCGGCGTTAAACAACAAACAAACATTGGGTGAATCTGAATCTTCGGTAGGTATAGCTTTAAGCCACGTCCATGTATATAAAGCGTCGGTTAATATGCCAAGCACAGTCTACAGTCAAGGAGGCTTTATATCATATGCCTTTAGCTCATGTTAAATACGTGAGTCACTATTTAGTAGTTAATATCACTTATGGCATAGCCCAATACTTCGGGAAGGTCATTTATGGAAAAGTAAAGATTAAGTATTTAGAAGGCGCATTTACCAAACGCTACAATGATAAATTGTGTTATGATCAATGCATTACGTGATCTGTGCCGTTCGTTATGTTTGTACTCCATGATGAAAGTCTTTGCGTTTCTGGGGCGGTCGGGTAGCCTAGTGGTTAAAGCGTTCGCTCGTCACGCCGAAGACCCGGGTTCGATTCCCGACATGGGTACAACGTGTGAAGCCCATTTCTGGTGTCCCCCGCCGTGATATTGCTGGAATATTGCTAAAAGCGGCGTAAAACCATATTCACTCACTCACTCACTCTTTGCGTTTCTTTTCAGATACATGCGGCAACAGTCGAACAGACCACATGCATCGAAGAATAAATATTAACGTTAATTTCCGCTTTGCTTGTTATGTTTGTTAACTAGTTAGAAAAAACCAATAACCTTGTTCGGTCGCAAATGATTTCAAATTATAAGTAAATTTACCATACTGATCAACGATGTATAAAAGACCATTTTTGCAGAGCACATTTACTCCTGCTACACCGACAATGAGCAGTATTGTATTCACATCGGTGTAATGCAAGCGTTTTCTGAGCACGTTGACAGAAACACGGGATGTCACAGGTTACTTGCGCTTAAAAGTCGATGTCCAACTCACGAATTAGATCAGTTATTTCCAGATACATTCCGCAAGATAGACATCCCCATTCTGAGTGAGTAAGGTTTTACGCCGATTTAGGCAATATTCTAGCAAACAGCGAGAGACACCACACATCGGCTTAACACATTGTATCAATGTGGGGAATCGAACCCGGGTCTTTTGCGTGACGAGCGAACGCTTTAACCACTAGACTATACCCTACCGCAACGAATGTTCCTGGTGACGTAAGTATGATGTGTTGTTTTACTACGTTGTCACAGCGTCAATGGGAGTCCACACGATATGTGTCGTATGGACATGACTTATTTCAGTATGTCAGCCTTCTAACACCATGTCAGTTGACAACGTTTATGGTAGTCCACAGGATAATTTGTTGCATGCACGTAATATCATAACGTAAATACAACGTAAAAATATGTTGCCACAACGTAAAATACAACGTTACCACAACGTAAAAATACAAGGTTCCCACAACGTAAAAATACAAGGTTCCCACAACGTAAAAATACAACGTTACCACAACGTAAAAATACGTTCCCACAACGTATAAATACAACGTTACCACAACGTAAAAATACGTTCCCACAACGTAAAACTACAACGTTACCACAACATAAAAATACAACGTTCCCACAACGTAAAATACAACGTTACCACAACGTAAAATACAACGTTACCACAACGTAAAATACAACGAGACAACCGAGAATTCGACACATTCAAGTTTTACACAACGGGATTCGACCATATATAAACTATTACACTGAGCAGTTTCTCCCGCTTTGAATTTAATGGATAACTGTATACCACTAACCACTAGACTATATTCCATTATACTGCTTCTACAAACGTCATCACTGAGGCAACTACAATTATATGCTAGTAAAAGGCGAGTTTAATAATATGATGCAGCAGCTTGAATTAGCAGATGAATATATTATTGTGTAATATAATATTATTACAGCTAAAATGGATAGAATTATCATTAAACCGCCCGGATGTTATCAGAAATGAGCGGGCCACTGTAACTTGATAATGCCCTCATATTGCTTGACGACGGGCCATTATCGCGCCCGTTGTTAGAGTGAGTGAGTGAGTTGGGTTTAACGCCGCTTTTAACAGTATTCCAGTTATATCGCGGCGTGTCAGCTGTGGTCGGAAAGCCCGAAGTAATGTAGGTCTCAGACGTTTACCATTTCGGTGAAACCCACGAGCACGGGTATGGTGCTGACAAACCTAGAAACATAATCGGGTCGAACCGGGATTCGAACCGACAATCATAGGTTTCTGGCGTGCCCAAGGGACGCAACTCTGCACAGCGAATCGCGGCGCCTTAGACGACTGGGCCGCCCGTGCCCCCCGCCCGTTGTTAGATGACGTCATAGGATAGGATAGGTGACGTGACGTTCCATAGTGACGTCATCTGGTTTGTTCTTTGACGTTTCCATATTTGTAAAAGTGGATCAGTGACATTCGTGTTGATAACAGTAAATGTTTCAAACCCGATATTGTTGTTTCTTTTTATTTGATAAAAAAAATCCATCCATGTTAGCAGATAAATGGAAGACCTCGGGCTTCTGCAAATGATAATGCCCTGAAAAATAGCGTTATCCTTACAGTAATAAAACACGATAATCTAGAGAGCAATGTGGCAACCGATAGGATAGAATTACCATGAGGAAACATGTCGTTTGTTCAAGAGGACGAGTGAGTGAGTGGGTGGGTTGCAGGCCGTTTTTAGCAATATTCCAACATTGTCACGGCAGGGGACACCAGAAAACTGAGGAATCGAACCCGGGCCTTCGGAGTGACGAACGAACGTTTTAACCACTAGGCTGCCCCACCGTCCCTCATTTATGTAATAGATGTAAACATAATGTAGCTATGTCAATACCTGCAGGTTTGTTTGTTTGTTTGTCTCAGACCTTTACCACTTCGGTGAAACCCACGAGTACAGGTATGGTACTGACAAACCTAGAAACATAATCGGGGCGAAATGGGATTCAAAACCCGATCATAGGTTAATGACATGCCCAAGGGACACAACTCTGCACCGCAAAGCGCGGCGCCTTGGACGACTCTGACATCCGTCCCAACCGTGCTCCCCATTGAAAAAGAGGGTTACATCAGTTCGAATTTTGTTCTTACGTCTCCTTCTCATGCTTGATTTGACCCAACACATTTCTAAATATCAACTTTCTTTAGATGAATGTGGAAACGTAACATTTGACACCCCACAGCTTACACTGTCGGTTCCAAAAAGAATTTTCTAGCATCAAATACTGTGTAACACCCGCAAATCTTTAAACATGCTAATCTCCGGAATTATTTCCAAGTGGACTTTAGAATGAAATAGTGACAGGCTATGACTCACATGCAGATGGCCTTGACGGAATCTGTGTCACGGATGTGAAAACAAACCTTTTGCTCGGAAATCCGTGCTTGTTTCAACATGTCAAAAAAGCCTACATCCAATTTACACTGTGTAATAAATTCTGCTACTTTGAGAGATACCGCGTACAAAGACGCTCAGTAACAAAAGAAATAGTGTTGTGTGGGGAAACGCATGGGGGCCGAGAGGGGACATCGCTTTCTCGCTTTCTCGCTTTCTCGCTCTATCGCTTTCTCGCTTTCTCGCTTTCTCGCGGTATAGCAATATTCCCTCTTGGCCACGATATGGGTCCCTTACGTTATGTGTTTCTTTACGATAAAAAGTATATACGTAAAACAACATTAATGAATTGTCCTCAGTGTGTGTGTGTGTGTGTGTGTGTGTGTGTGTGTGTGTGTGTGTGTGTGTGTGTGTAATAAAAGAGAGCTGAGATTTTTCCAGACGCATTTCAAATTATACATATGGACGGAATGTTGAAACTTTCTCACTATCTACTTAAATATGATTTAACAGTACAGACATATGTGCTTTTATAACAATCCACGTTTTTCTGCGTAAAAAAAAATTTGATTGATTTATGGCCCTGTTTAGCTATTGGATCCCCCGCCCCTGGGCCAAGTTATCAAAACAAATAGCAAATCACACCGCTCAATAGTACTTCCTTCCTAAAAAGCAATAGTGTTTTCCTAAAAACAACGCTTACGGGGGTATATCAATGTTTATTCTGTTTGCGGAGTAGATGTCATCAAAGTGGAAGTCCTCACCCAAGCAATGGTAATACTACCGGATGTCCATTATGTAATTTCTAGTTTTGGATGACATATCGTTCTCAGTAACCGTAATGTGGAAATAGATAGTTGATTGGTTTTATATTCAAGTTGGTATTTCCGCTATTCAACGTGTTCAGTGAGGCCGTCTTATCAACAGTCATTTCTGAGACATAAATGCAAAGTATAATTACCGTATTCGACGTAATAAGCGCCCCGCTATAATACACGCCCACGGCGATATTTGCTAATATATTATTGGCTAGTGAACAATCCCAATTAGCACCCCTTCCGATTGATTAATGTACACAAGACTTATTTATTCGCGTATAATACGCACTCGTTATATGCACACTTAATTATGGGCAATCAAATTCGGGAAAAATATATCTGTCGTACATAAACATTTCAGGCTGTCAGCATAAACCACAAAATTTATCTTTCAACTCAACGTTTTGTTCACCAAAATAATATTCTAATTTTGAGAGCGCCCTGGGCGCTTATTACGTCGAATACGGTTATTAAGTTTACGCTAATTTTTTTGCATTTATAATTAACTCGAACGTTAATTTCAAGATTTACAGTACATACTATTCAAAAGAAGTTAAAGAACACCCGATTCCTTCATATGACTATGGTTAGTCATTAGAGGAAGCGATAGAGCGAGAAAGCGATAGAGCGAGAAAGCGATATTTCCCATAATGCCGTACATTTTAACGGTTTTTGCTGATATTTAGTGATCCTGTAATTCTCACCGCTATTTTGCCTCTTATGATTAGATTTTTTAAACATCTTGTAGTAGATTAATATGTTACAAAATACACACGTAATTTTTTTCTCGTTTAGCTTGTATATTTTCTTGTAGTGTAATAAATAAGCAAGATTCACCGAATACAGATAGTCACTGTTCATATTTTCATTTTGTTCATAATACAACAAAAAGTTATACATGTACACAGTTATGTTTCCCTTACAAAATACAGATGAATTAGATAAATGTCTCTACCTTAAGTCACATACGACTTTCGAGAGCGTCATTAACCCGTAACCCCATTCCTTGGACAATAGAAATGAAATGCGTTGCAAATATTTTTTAAAAACAACTCGTTTCTTATAATGACTTTCGATTAAACTGTCTTCGGGAATTAAATTTAATGCTAAAGTGCTCGTAAAATAAAGTTTAACTTTCCCGCCAGGAGAGACTAGATATCCAATTATAGTATAGGCTCAGGCAGGAATATACCTATTATGTAGCAATTCTCTATATCATTTAAACTGTATGGTTAACCTTTGTGCGTTCTGATGTGAGTTATGTTGTTATCTACTACCTTTTTACACAGACAATGAGTCGGACACACACACACACACACACACACACACACACACACACACACACACACACACACAAACACACACACATACATAATTTTGACAAAACTATACTTAAGATATACATAGCATATTATAATGATAGCTGATTTAATATATGTTATAGATAATTATAGTAATGCATTTCATATTGTTATCAACCTTAACTATGTGGCCACACTAATTATGTCTCTCCATATGTGTAGTTTACACTAGTACATATATCAACTGTGGTAACGCCACAGCGATGGGGGCAGTGGGGTAGCCTAGTGGTTAAAGCGTTCGATCGTCAAGCCGAAGACCCAGTTCGATTCCCCACATGGGTACAATGTGTGAAGCCCATTTCAGGTATTACCCGTGATATTACTGGATTATTGTTAAAAGCGACGTGAAACCATTCTCACTCACCCACTCACTCACACACACACACAGCGGTGTTTATCAAATTACTTTATGCAAGTACATAAATTTGTAGATTTGCACAAGACAAGAAACACAATTCGAGTTAAACATACATCAAATGTCAAAAAGAACATTTACGGACAATCTTATGACACACTGTAACATCATATGCTACCGAAAACAAGTTATAGAACACCCACAATTATAAGATTGTATTTTTGCAAAACAATCAGCCATGACTAATTAACCATAGTCTTCTTAAGTTCTTTTGAAAAGTATATATTTAGATTTTAACCTGATTTATTTAGAGCGTATTGCCATGATCTGCCACGCGCTTTCGGCGTGATGGTCACATACAACTGAAAAGGGCCATAAATCAATCAATTACATTTTACGCAAAAATCGGTGGATTGTTTTAAAATCACCTACGTCTGTACAGTTAAATTATGTTTTAAGTGAATAGTGAGAAAAGTTCAACATTACCTCCCAATTGCAGCAGATATCATATGCGGCCCCTGTAGTGGTCAAGAGGGGATATTGCTTAACCGCGAGAAAGCGAGAAAGCGATAGAGCGATAAAGCGGGAAAGCGAGAAAGCGATAATGCGAGAAAGCGATAGAGCGAGAAAGCGATAGAGCGTGAAAGCGATAGAGCGAGAAAGCGATATCCCCTCTCGGCCACCATAGAAACGGGGATAAAGTTGTCAGAATGAGATCTGCTTGACTAACAGGGAATCTGGCACAACAGTGCAACAACCAAAACGCGTCAATGCGATGTTATTTTACGACTGCTTCAGACAACACGCCATATTCACGTGACACCTCTCATTATCATGATCATCTGGGTTTACATAACCCAATATTGTCGTGTGGGATACAAAGCCGACTGTCAACAACCAACCGACGGTTGTGTACCATGGGAGAGCGGACATCACGTCTAAGGAAATGAGAAACAAACAATTAACTCTCACTTGGTGAAATCAGCCGCTCTCTGGTCCCCGTTGTCAACTGACCAGGTTACTGACCTCTGAACCCTGACCCGAAAGAGTTGCGACGATCCTTCAGAGCTGTGGTGCCGGTCTCTGGAGACAATCAAAGAAGGAATGTTGATGTTATTTATTCAGCTCGCTGGCCTGTTAGGTGATGTTACTGAACGCGCGTGCCAGTGCGGCGAGACTCGTGCGTCTGTGTCAGATAAAGGAAGATGTAGTGAACAGGGAGATAACTCCTGACAGCATGCCCAGCGAGCTTCCCATGCGCCCATCTACATGGGCCCTTAGGCTAACATCAAGACCCTGAAATGAACATATCTTACAGAAAAGAACAGTTGTTAAATTATCTTCATAAAAATATAATAAAAAGGAGCCCAGAGACTCTCTTCGTTTTCAGATACTGCAGTAATCTAGACTTGCCAAACAGTATAGACTTGCATTGGCTGTGTTGGATATATTTGTTTCAGGGTCTGTATGACAGACCATTAGGCCCTTAACTTTACTACTACTACTACTACTACTACTACTACTACTACTACTACTACTACTAGATCCGAAAGGACGACAGGAAGATTGGTGAAGTTGGAATGGGGTTGTTTTATTGAATATTCTGGGGTCTGGAAGAGAGACTACTACGACTACTACTACTACTACTACTACTACTACTACTACTACTGCTGCTGCTACTGCTGCTGCTGCTGCTGCTACTACTTCTACTACTACTTTCCCTACATATTAACGGGTATAAGGTATATAAGCTATTGGTATAACATCTAATTAGGTTTACAGTATTTAAGGTACAGGTCAATTAATAGCCTATCTCCAATGTAGTACGGTACAAGGACGCCAGTCATTTATCCGAACAACTTTGTTCTTTTATTTACATAATCAAGAATTTATCATTTAAACTAATAATCATTGCCTAGACACTTCTGCAATTCTAGTCAATTAACAATCTTAACGTTTGTATTTTACTTATTGTTCAAACAAAAGAAATGATAAATTTAACCAAAAAAGAATACATCAATAAAAACAGTAAAATATAGAAAGTGCAATGTCTTTGGCACGCTCGTTAAATGGAAACTACATACCAATACTTACTAAAGAATCTGTTTAAAAAAAAACACAATCGAACATAAAACGATGAAAAAATAATACTATGTTCATGACTATCGAGGACAACGAAGATGAATCTTTAACAAGGGATAACAGAGACTGGCTCCAGTCTAGGAGTACACGTGCAGGATCTGCCGATATCCCTGTACGCCCTGCACCAAGTAACCTCGCAGCGTCATTATCGCTAAGACCTGATGAGATGTCCCTAACCCTGAATATATTTGCATTCCCTTCACGATCACCTCTTTACTGTGCCTCGCATATCTGGCTCAAATAGCGCTGATGTTTACCTTGTGACGTGAGATGGCTGCGTATTGATACAGTTGTTAGTGGTCACATGATGAGGTTATTTCAGGCAGATGCGGAGTTTGTAGAATGAGCAACCTTTGGCAAGTTCATGTGCAGTAAAATGTAAGGCTCCGTGGATAAACCGCACACACCCAAGTGACTTGCTGGATGGACTTGCTGGATGGAGTTATTGCATAGAGTTGCTGGATGGAGTTGCTGGATACAGTTGCTGGATGGAGTTGCTGGATACAGTTGCTGGATAGAGTTGCTGGATGGAGTTGCTGGATGGACTTGCTGGATGGAGTTATTGCATAGAGTTGCTGGATGGAGTTGCTGGATACAGTTGCTGGATGGAGTTGCTGGATAGAGTTGCTGGATGGAGTTGCTGGATAGAGTTGCTGGATGGTGTTGCTGGATAAAGTTGCTGGATGGAGTTGCTGGATAGAGTTGCTGGATTGAGTTGCTGGATAGAGTTGCTGGATAGAGTTGCTGGATGGAGTTGCTGGATAGAGTTGCTGGATAGAGTTGCTGGATAGAGTGGCTGGATGGAGTTGCTGGATGGAGTTGCTGGATAGAGTTGCTGGATGGGGTTGCTGGATAGAGTTGCTGGATGGAGTTGCTGGATTAAGTTGCTTGATGGAGTTGCTGGATAGCGTTGCTGGATAGAGTTGCTGGATGGAGTTGCTGGATAGAGTTGCTGGGCGGCATTGAACCCTTGGGAAGTGTTGTGTGGAATTCAGTCAGTTCAATGCTCTCTGATAAATTACTTTTAGTACGCCCACTCTGTAGGTACACCCTTCCACAATCGGCGCCCCACTACAGTAGTACCCCGCTCTGTAGGTACACCCTGCCACAATCGACACCCCACTACAGTAGTACCCCGCTCTGTAGGTACACCCTGCCACGATCGACGCCCCACTACAGTAGTACCCCGCTCTGTAGGTACACCCTGCCACGGCAGACGCCCCACTACAGTAGTACCCCGCTCTGTAGGTACACCCTGCCACGACCGACACCCCACTACAGCAGTACCACGCTCTGTAGGTACACCCTGCCACAATCGACGCCCCACTACAGCAGTACCACGCTCTGTAAGTACACCCTGCCACAATCGACACCCCACTACAGTAGTACCCCGCTCTGTAGGTACACCCTGCCACGACCGACGCCCCACTACAGTAGTACCACGCTCTGTAGGTACACCCTGCCACGGCAGACGCCCCACTACAGTAGTACCCCGCTCTGTAGGTACACCCTGCCACGACCGACACCCCACTACAGCAGTACCACGCTCTGTAGGTACACCCTGCCACAATCGACGCCCCACTTCTGCAGTACCACGCTCTGTAAGTACACCCTGCCACGACCGACACCCCACTACAGTAGTACCCCGCTCTGTAGGTACACCCTGCCACGACCGACGCCCCACTACAGCAGTACCCCGCTCTGTAGGTACACCCTGCCACGACCGACGCCCCACTACAGTAGTACCACGCTCTGTAGGTACACCCTGCCACGACCGACACCCCACTACAGTAGTACCCCGCTCTGTCGGTACATCCAGCCAAGACCGACGCCCCACTACAGCAGTACCCCGCTCTGTAGGTACACCCTTCCACAACCGACGCCCCACTACAGCAGTACCACGCTCTGTAGGTACACCCTTCCACAACCGACGCCCCACTACAGCAGTACCCAGCTCTGTAGGTACACCCTTCCACAATCGACGCCCCACTACAGCAGTACCACGCTCTGTAGGTACACCCTTCCACAACCGACGCCCCACTACAGCAGTACCCCGCTCTGTAGGTACACCCTTCCACAATCGACGCCCCACTACAGCAGTACCACGCTCTGTAGGTACACCCTTCCACAACCGACGCCCCACTACAGCAGTACCCAGCTCTGTAGGTACACCCTTCCACAATCGACGCCCCACTACAGCAGTACCACGCTCTGTAGGTACACCCTTCCACAATCGACGCCCCACTACAGTAGTACCACGCTCTGTAGGTACACCCTTCCACAATCGACACCCCACAACAGTAGTGCCCCTCTCTGTAGGTACACCCTGCCACGACCGACACCCACTACAGTAGTACCACGCTCTGTAGGTACACCCTGCCACGACCGACGCCACACTACAGTAGTACCCCGCTCTGTAGGTACACCCTGCCACGACCGACGCCCCACTACAGTAGTACCCCGCTCTGTAGGTACACCCTGCCACGACCGACGCCCCACTACAGTAGTACCCCGCTCTGTAGGTACATCCTGCCAGACCGACGCCCCACTACAGTAGGTACGCCTCTGTAGGTACATCCTGCCACGACCGACGCCCCACTACAGTAGGTACGCCTCTGTAGGTACATCCTGCCACAACAGACGCCCCACTACAGTAGGTACGCCTCTGTAGGTACATCCTGCCACGACCGACGCCCCACTAAAGTAGGTACGCCCCTGTAGGTACATCCTGCCACAACAGACGCCGCACTTCAATTCGTCCACAATACGCCCCAATGCCATGCTACGCCCAGTTCCTACAGTATTTGTATTGTGACAACTGTTTGCTGATTCCACGTCATCGCATGGCCTGGACCGTGGCTCATGCTTTCAGTCACTGGTTTGCCTGATCCGGCCTCGACTAGTTACAGGCAGCAGTGATATAGCTGGCATATTGCTGAATGAGGCGTTGAACAACATTTGGTCAGCCAAATACACCCATCAAACTATAAATCGTAGAAAATTACAATGTCAATGCCAGTGCTCAGGTTAAAAAATGAAATGATGGTACACTGCAGATGCAACAAAGTGAAAATAAATTGGTATCCTGTTGGTGAAAGTACTCTCCAAATAACTAACACAAATAAATCTTGGATGTCAAATAAGAAGTCTTCACAAAAAATGAAAATCACTCTGTTTATATACACACAAATTTTCACGGTGAGTGCTGGCAATCCGCCACATCCTTATCTAACTGTGGAATATTTTCATATCAACTTCCTGAAGGTGAACAAATAATCATTCCAAGGTCATATAACATATTCAGCTGACAAATTTATATATGTGTCTCTTCCAAAAGTCCGTCTATTGACACATATACACAATGAAACTAAACTGTTTCATGTAATATTAACGATTGTATGACCCATTAACACTGATTCATAACATATGTCACAGCAGTCTTCGAGAGCACAAAGAGTCCAGCCGCCGCAGTGCAGAGGTGCGCCCCTTTGTTGAACCAGGATCCGCTGATCTTGGGTTCGGATCCCAGATTTCTTCTCAAATTAGGGAAAGTAAAATGTAACAAGATGTAACAAGATGTAACCGACCAGATAAGACATTCATTTATTTCTCGGGACGTTGGTGGTCCAGTCGTTTAAGATACCACAATATCGATGTGCAAAGTTGCGTCCCTTAGGCGTGGCAGGAACGTATGAGGGTGAATTATGTTTCTGGGTTTGTCAGCACCATACCCGTGCTCGTGGGTTTCACTAAAGTCGTAAACATCTGAGACAAGCATCACTTCGGGTTTTCCTCCCACATTAAACTGACACGCCGTGACATAGAAATACTGTTCAAAGCGGCGGTAAACCAAACTCTCTCACTCATTTATTTCTCCGTGGGTGCGGTAAACGAGTTTTCTTTCAAAATGATGTTGTCACTACACCAAAACGCACTCTTGTCTTCGCCAGATGGTTGAACGTGCCCCGCCCTGCACGTGAGAGTGTTAGGTCTGAGCGCGATTGAAAGGTCACGCCGGGTCGGGTTGCCAACATGGAAGCTATTGTGTGATGA